TCTAACTTGATAAGAGTTTTCTCTTTGAAGATCCGTTTCTCTACACCTCTCACTCTCGATAATTAGGTCAACTTGCGATCATGGCGATTTCACTGGTAACGTTTTACACAAAAACCCTAATTCTCTGTTTTTTTTCTTCTTTCTGGGGGCTTTGTACGGACTTGAAACTTCCATGGTTTTTTGTAGTTTTTTGCTTCGGATTTTGTGAAAATGGGGTTTTTGAGCTTATGTCTGCTTGATTCAGCTTTTAATGATTTTCATTAAGTGGATCGTAATCGAGTTTTAAAGCTACATCTCTCTCTCTCTCTCAATTTTTTTTTCTGGGTTTTTCGGGTTTTTGCGAAGATTGTTTCTTTCATATTTTAGGTTTCTGGGTTTTGGTTGATTCAAAGGTTTCTTCGAGTGTACTTTGTTTTGTGTTTCTTTTAATGGTTGACCTTTTTTTTTTTATTGAAGATCTGTATGCGTAGATCATACGGGATCTTTGCATTTTTTATTTGTTGCTTTTCGTTAGCGTTACGATTCTCTTAAGCTTGAAATTTAGTGAACTTGTATAGCTAATTGAAAAGGGGTTCCATTAATTGAGCTTACTAAGATCACTCATAGTTACCATAATTTTTTCAGGTCTGAAGCTGATTTTGATGGTGTGGTGGTATCAGTATTAGTTAAAGCATATGGAAGTCTATGTTCTGTTTTTGGTTGCTCTATTAGGGCTTCCTCCATTTGGACCGACTTAGTTGATGTTGTAAGAAGAAGAAAAGGTTTAGATCTTCTTGAAGCAGGATTAAGGTCTGGTACTTAACTTAACTTAAGAAGCTCTATTGGGAGGAACCTTTCAGTTATTAGGTGAAAAGACTGTACAGAGCTGTAAAAGAAGACTGCACAGAGTGGCTTTATATTTCTCGGTGCTATTGTGTGACAGAAGAATCGGTTGATTCGCTACTGTATGAGCTTTGAGGAGAATCTATTTAGATCAAATCTGTGAGATCTACTTGGCGCATTGATTTGTAGTGTTGACCCTCAGATCCTCCTCTGAGTAATTATATTATCAGATAGATTTAGGATGGAAGCGGAAATTGTGAATGTGAGACCTCAGCTAGGTGTCATCCAGCGAGTGGTTCCTGCTCTACTGCCAGTCCTTTTGGTTTCTGTCGGATATATTGACCCCGGAAAATGGGTTGCAAATATCGAAGGAGGTGCTCGCTTTGGGTATGACTTGGTGGCAATAACTCTGCTTTTCAATTTTGCCGCCATCTTGTGCCAGTATGTAGCCGCTCGAATAAGTGTTGCAACTGGTAGGAACTTAGCTCAGGTATTTGTTCCCCTTTCTCTGCATTTTTTATCTCAAAGCTTGTAGCTTCACTTTTTGAATCATGATACTGGGCATTGTGGTTGTTATTTTCTTAGAATTACTAATTTTGGAATGAACTTTAGTTTGCCCTTCGTAAGTTTTGCAATTATACCAATTGGTCCTCCATAAATGGTTGAGTTTCCCTCAAATAGTATTTGTTGTATCTGTTTTTTGGTTTTTCGAAGTGGAATTCTACAAAACACGTTTTCTATTTCTCTAGAATTTTAATGTTCTTTACTGGGACAGATCTGCAACGAAGAATATGACAAGTGGACGTGCATGTTCTTAGGCGTTCAGGCGGAGTTCTCAGCAATTCTGCTCGACCTTACCATGGTAATTACTTACTTCAACTTTTTATTGTGTTTGATGGCAAAATGATTCCATTCCTCTGACTTGAGCTTCTCAATTAAACAGGTTGTGGGTGTGGCACATGCACTTAACCTTCTCTTTGGGGTGGACTTATCCACTGCAGTGCTTTTGGCCGCCATTGATGCATTTTTGTTTCCTGTTTTCGCCTCTTTCCTTGTATGACTCATCTTCCCATCCTTTTCTTTTTTTTTCTGGTGTTCTTGAAGTAGCATTATCGGAAACTAGCTGACATGCATACAAATTTTACAGGAAAATGGTATGGCAAATACAGTATCCATTTGCTCAGCAGGCCTGGTTTTAATTATCTATGTTTCTGGCGTCTTGCTGAGTCAGTCTGAGATACCATTCTCAATGAACGGAGTGTTAACTCGGTTAAATGGAGAGAGTGCATTCGCACTGATGGGTCTTCTTGGAGCAAGCATCGTCCCTCACAATTTTTATATCCATTCTTATTTTGCTGGGGTACCTCTCCCTCTTTCTATGTATCTCTCTTTTCTTTAAAGATAATTTAATCCTACTAAGCAGTGAACACTTTATTGCAGGAGCAGGAAAGTACATCTTCTTCCGATGTCGACAAGAACAGTTTGTGTCAAGACCATTTGTTCACCATCTTTTGTGTCTTCAACGGACTTTCACTTGTAAATTATGTACTGATGAATGCAGCAGCAAACGTGTTCCACAGTACTGGCCTTGTGGTACTGACTTTTCAGGACGCCATGTCACTAATGGAGCAGGTTTGTTCTGATGGTTTTAGTCTAGAATTCATTTTTAGGGAGAGAGTTCTGAAACGTCTCCTGATTACTAATTATTTAGTTTGTGACTGTTGAGCGCAGGTATTTAGGAGTCCACTCATTCCAGTGGTCTTTTTGATGCTCTTGTTCTTCTCTAGTCAGATTACGGCACTAGCTTGGGCTTTCGGTGGAGAGGTCGTCCTGCATGACTTCTTGAAGATAGAAATACCCAGTTGGCTTCATCGTGCTACTATCAGAATTCTTGCAGTTGCTCCTGCCCTTTATTGTGTGTGGACATCTGGTGCTGATGGGATATACCAGTTACTTATATTCACCCAGGTCCTGGTGGCGATGATGCTTCCTTCCTCTGTAATACCGCTGTTTCGCATTGCCTCATCGAGACAAATCATGGGTGTCTATAAAATTCCTCAGATTGGCGAGTTCCTTGCACTTACAACATTTTTGGGGTTTCTGGGTTTGAATGTTGTTTTTATTGTTGAGATGGTGTTTGGGAACAGTGACTGGGCTGGTGGTTTGAGATGGAATACTGTAATGGGCACCTCAATTCAGTACACCACTCTGCTTGTATCGTCTTGTGCGTCGTTATGCCTGATGCTCTGGCTTGCAGCTACACCACTGAAATCTGCCAGTAATAGAGCAGAGGCTCAAATTTGGAACGCAGATGTCCAAAATACTGTATCTTATACATCTGTTCAAGAAGAGGAAACTGGGAGAATTGGCACAAGGCGGCACGAAGAAGAATCAATAATGCAGGAAACTGGGAGAACTGAAACAAGGCGGCACAAAGAAGAATCAATAGTGCGGCTGGAAAACAGGGTAAAGGCTGAATTTGATAGTACGTCTGTTGCTAGCCCGGGCTATGATTTGCCAGAGAACATTCTAATGACTGATCAAGAAATCCGTTCGGGCCCTCTTGAGGAAAGTGAGTTGGATGTGAAATTCACTGCGCCTCAAGTTAGGAGTCTTGGGGAAGACTCTGATGTAAAGGAACAGTCTTTAAAACAGTCAACGGTGGTCAATGAGGTTAGTGACAAGGATTTGGTTGTGGAAACAAAGAAGGGGAAGATTGAACCGATGAGTCTTGTGGAGAAGACTGTAAGCATGGAAAATAACAAGTTCATTGATAAGGATGTTGAAGAAGTTTCATGGGAAACAGAAGAAGCTACCAAAGCTGTTCCTGAAAGCAACTTTACTGTTGTATCGGATGGTCCACCTTCATTCCGCAGTCTAAGTGGGAGAAGCGAGGAAGGGGGAAGTGGTACTGGAAGCCTCTCACGGTTGCAAGGTTTGGGGCGTGCTGCACGGCGACATTTATCTGCGATCCTCGATGAGTTTTGGGGACATTTATATGATTTTCATGGGCAATTGGTAGCTGAAGCCAGGGCAAAGAAATTAGATCAGTTGCTTGGCGCTGAACAAAAGTCAGCCTCTTCTGTGAAAGTGGATTCGTTTGGAAAGGACATGAGCAGTGGATATTGCATGTCACCAACTGCGAAGGGATTGGACTCACAGATGAATTCAAATTCATACGATTCATTGAAGCAGCAGAGGACACCCGGAAGTATTGATTCTTTGTATGGACTACAAAGAGGTTCATCACCATCACCGCTGGTCAACCGTATGCAGATGTTGGGTGCATATGGTAGCACTACCAATAATAATGCGTATGAATTGGGTGAGAGAAGATACTCCAGCCTCCGTGCTCCATCCTCTACAGAGGGTTGGGAACACCAACAACCAGCCACGATTCACGGATACCAATTAAAGTCCTATGTTGACAATTTGGCAAAAGAAAGGCTTGAAGCCTTACAATCCCGTGGAGAGATCCCGACATCTAGATCTATGGCCATTGGTTCATTGAGCTATACACAGCAACTGGCTTTAGCCTTAAAACAAAAGTCCCAGAATGGTCTAACCCCTGGACCGGCTCCTGGGTTTGAGAATTTTGCTGGGTCTAGAAACATATCGCGACAATCTGAAAGATCTTATTACGGTGTTCCATCCTCTGGAAATACCGATAATGTAAGTGCTGTAGTTGCCAATGAGAAGAAATACAGTAGCATGCCAGATATATCAGGATTGTCTCTGTCTGCAAGGAATATGCATATGCCGAATAACAAGAGTGGATACTGGGATCCGTCAACTGGAGGAGGAGGGTATAGCTCGACTTATGGTCGATCAAGCAATGAATCGTTGTTATATTCTAATTTGGGGTCACGGGTTGGAGTACCCTCAGGTTATGATGACATTTCTGAGTCAAGAGGAGGAGGCTACAGAGATGCCTATACTTTGCCACAGAGTGCAACAACAGGGACCGGATCACTTTGGTCTAGACAGCCTTTTGAGCAATTTGGTGTAGCAGATAGGAATGGCGCTGTTGGTGAAGAGGTCAGGAATAGATCGAATCCGATAAATATAGACAACAACGCTTCTACTGTCGATGCAGAGGCAAAGCTTCTTCAGTCGTTCAGGCACTGTATATTAAAGCTTATTAAACTAGAAGGATCCGAATGGTTGTTTGGACAAAGCGATGGAGTCGATGAAGAACTGATTGATCGGGTAGCTGCAAGAGAGAAGTTTATCTATGAAGCTGAAGCTCGCGAAATAAACCAAGTGGGTCACATGGGTGAGCCTCTGATTTCATCAGTTCCTAACTGCGGAGATGGTTGCGTGTGGAGAGCTGATTTGATAGTGAGCTTTGGAGTTTGGTGCATTCACCGTGTCCTTGACTTGTCTCTCATGGAGAGTCGGCCTGAGCTTTGGGGAAAGTACACATACGTTCTCAACCGCCTTCAGGTAAAAAAAAACCCGCAATTCTCTTCACTGAAACGGCAATTTTGGTAGTTTTAAAATTTTGACATGTTATGGATTTGAACAGGGAGTGATAGATCCGGCGTTCTCAAAGCCGCGGACACCGATGACACCATGCTTCTGCCTTCAGATCCCCACGAGTCAGCAGAGAGCGAGTCCGCCTTCGAACGGAATGTTACCTCCGGCAGCAAAACCGGGGAAAGGCAAATGCACAACAGCAGTCACACTTCTTGATCTTATCAAAGACGTTGAAATGGCAATCTCTTGCAGAAAAGGCCGGACCGGTACAGCTGCAGGAGACGTAGCTTTCCCAAAAGGGAAAGAGAATTTAGCTTCGGTATTGAAACGGTATAAGCGTCGGTTATCGAATAAACCGGGTGTTATGAATCAGGATGGACCCGGTTCAAGAAAGAACGTGAATGCGTACGGATCATTGGGTTGAAGAAGAAGAAACATTTTGAAATCTCATATGATCAAAAGAAGACGTCGAGAGGAAGACGAAGAATCACAAAACCTTTTCCTTTTTGGTTTGCTCTCCTCTGCTTCGTTTATTGTGTATTAAGGAAAAGAAGAAGAAACAAATGGGTTTTTGTTGCTTCAGAATTTTTCACTCTTTTTTTTTTTTTGTTTTCTTAATTTGGTTGTAATGTTATGTAATAATATTATATACATATCATATAGGACCTGACCATAGCTACAAACCGAATCCGGTTTGTGTAATTTGATGCGGAAGTCATAAAAAAATTCGTCGGTTTGAATCGTTAACCGGGTTTCATTCCGTGGCTGACACAGCGAAGCTAGTAAGCTGACACGTGTCCTTATGAGACGATTATATAAGCAATCTTCTTCTCGAGTCGTCTTCTTGTTCCTCAAATCATTCAATTTCTGGTGAAAAGTAAACTACTAAAGCAATGAGTTATGTGATCTACATATCGTTTCCGGCGATTCTTCTCCTTTTGATCGTAGCTATCGCTTTTTATCTCATCGGAAAGAGAATCGGCCGGCGAGAAGGTCTGTCACAGCTTCACTACGGACCGCCGTTGGCTAGTTTACCGGCACCTGCACCGCCGCAAAACGCTGTGGAGAAGCCACCGGAGGTTTAGCAATACCGGTTGTGTTTGTATACGATGACGTAATATTTACGTAAAAATGCTTTGTTGTTTTTGTTCAATAAGATGGTCACTGTTATAGCATTGAAGTTTTTCGTTACTCTTTCTCTAACCTCGTTATTGGGCCGATACTGAAACAAAAATAATCTCGTTATTGGGCCTGTGTTTTCAAGAAGACACTTCATTCCGTTTTTCATTTTAACGCACTTACTTCATGCCGTTTTACTTCAATCCCAACCTAGTTGCAGGCTTCTCAAACTACGCGGCGTTTTAACGTAAGAAGAAATATTCGCTGTGAAGCAGAAGTCTTCCACTTTTGGCCCAACGCAGAAATT